ATAGCTAGATTAAATTTTTTATATTTTAATGAATATGATTTTAACGAAGACAACATAAATGAATAGAATATAAATATAATTGTATTTTTTTAAGTCTTAATAAATTGTGCGTACGTATAGTATGTACATACGTACATACATGTGAGAATATGAAGGTCTCTAATTAAAAACTTTGTTATGCTTATTACAAATTATTTAAGTTTATCGTTATTGTTAAATTTACTAAATTTGCTAATTTCACTAGCTATTTTTGCTAGCTATTTTTGCTATCAACGTCCGAGGTCCCTGCTATATAGTTTTTTAAACTAATCATAACATACTAATGTAATAAATACTACATAAAAGTATTATACATTATATAGTTATATATACATATTAAAAAAATATGTTGAATAAACATTTTAAAGATCATACTTGTATTAGGCTCCTTTTCGTTTTCTAATTCAGGATCTTTCGTATTACTAACTTCCAATTCAGATTCTTTTGAATTACCACCATTACCAATTTCTAATTCAGGTTTTTCCTTTCCAATTCCTGCTATTGCTTCAGATAGTTCTAAGCTGTCTGTATTGGATAAACAATCCAAAGGATCTTTTGTAAAATCTATTGTTTCGATACTCTTATTACTTTCAACAACTTTGCTCTGATCCTCTTTTTAAAATTATTGGTATTAATAAATGGTTCAATATTATTAAGGTAAATGAATATATAAAATTTTTTACTTTGATCTCGTTTATCGTAATTTTTCATGCATTCTTGACAGATATTAACGATATCTTGGTCGCTTGGAATTCTAACCTGAGATTTATTTTTAAACCAGGCGACAAATTCATGTTCATATTTGACTTTTTTAATGGCGGCACCTGTTCATGTGATATACTTGTTATAAAAACCTAATGTATATTCAGATCCTTTTTTACGTTTCTTATTAAGGTTTATTGGTTGACAAGGGCAGTCTTTTTTGTAAATTTTCGTACAAACTAGGCACACCAAACATGTTGGGCAAGCATTTGAATGAAAATTTAAAGAAGTTGACATTATTGTTATAGCGATCGTAAAAGTAAAATTAGCATTATGATACAAAAATAGCTTTTATTTATTTATTATTATTATGCGGATCATGCCGAAATTAATAACTTAACCGGATTGGCCGAAAAATTATTTGGTCAATTTTTATCAGGTGTTCCAGAAATTATGAAAGTAGCTGTAAACTAAACCTGAACCCGAAACATCTAAATCGGGTCTGGGCTAGAGGTTGGAACCGGTTGTAAATATTCGAGTTTATCACATCAAAATTCGAGTTTATCACTCCAAAATTCGAGTTTATCACATCAATTATTAATGG